CTTGCAGCCTTGTTGGAAGTGAAGATGTTAAAAAAAAAAAAAAAAAAAAAAAAAAATTTTAAAATATTTTATTTCAAAACTTGTTAAGGAATTTTCATTCCTATACAGAATTAATGTCAACATATGAATATGAACATGTAAACATTTTTTAGATCTTTAAAGTGATCTTTTTTTAAAGTGATCTTTATTTTTGACAACTTGGAGCATGTAGGGGCTGTTGAATTTTAATCCTCCAAATCAGCTGTTTATCTATCAACAATTTCTAGAAGTTATCTATTAACTCTTTTATTCAGACAACTTCACTTCATCTTAACTTTACATAGTTATATATTTAAAGAATCAAGTTTTTATTTGGCAATATTATTCAAATTTTTTTATATAGCTATCTGTTAAGTGATCAACTTGTTGGTATGTCCAGCACTAAAGCATATGACAAAGCTTTAAAAAAAGGGTGTAAAACTTTGGAGTGTGAGTTTATTAAATTTTATTATATATAGTTTAAAACATTTATTGTTTGAAACAAGTGTTTTTATATGGGTAATTCTATTATCTTTTTATTAATTTTTTATTTGTATTTTAAAAAAAACACATGGTAATTAATAAAAAACACAAATGACTTTGCAGACATGCTTTAAGCTTTGCAGACATGCTTTAATGCTTTTTTGAAAAAATATGTGTGGCATAAAAAAAAAATTTTTTTTAGCCAAAATGGAGATGTTTAAAACTCCTATAAAGTTTTTCAATTCCAGAAAATTTTACTGCAAATCAGTGGCAAAAAATTTATTTTTCTTATGTAATAAATGTTTGCTTTTTTCACAAACATTTAGTTGCAAAACCTCAGTTTATGTTAGATGTCTTAAATATAATTAAGTACACAGTTTTTTTTCTTAAAAACATTATTGCTATAAAATTTCAAATGGCTGTATCAATTTTTGTTCAAAAATTGATACAGCCATTTGAAATTTTTAAACAGCCATTTTTTGTATAATTTAAGTAATTTTTATTTATAACCATATAATTTATAACCATATAGTTTATGACATCTCTATATAGTTCTGGATTTTTTTGAGTCTTAAGTTGATAAGCTTTTGAAGAAAATAAAATACACTTTTTTTTTCTTCAAAATAGATTTTTTAGTTACTTTTTTTACCAAAGTTCACCTATTTTAATACAGGAAACTGAAGATAACTTAAAACATAACAAAATGTCATAACTTTAATGCGCAGAGCTTAAATAGAATTGCATAGATCAAGTAACATTAAAAACTGAGAAAAAGGTCACATTTAAGAAAAAAAAATTATGATTTATAATGCTTAAGAATATTTTTTTTATTATAATTGTGGCATCCAGACATACTAGAGGTAATAAATATGTCTTAAAATTAAATTAATGGAAAAACTTTTACTATATTCAAAAAATGCTTGTAAATATTTAATTATTACAAAAAATCACCAGGCATTTTAATCTATTTATAAAATTATTTCTGACAAACTAAATCACTTGTCTTGTGTCATCAATTAATCTCCCCTTTCCACTTACCAATACTTAAGTGTGAGTTTAAAATAAAAAAAAATTCAAAATTTTAAGTTATAATTATCAATATTTTTATAATCCCTTTTTTTGAATTTCATAATTTTAAATTGTTTAATGATAACTGCATTACCAAAATAAAAAACATTAATGATTTGGACTTTTTATTTATTTATTTTTTTTCGATTATTTTAAAAATACAAAAGATAATATACAAACATATGTAACAATATTCTACACTTTTATGAATGAAATTTTAAATCTTTTTGTTTAAATTTCATAAAACTTTAAAAAAAACATCATCGGAATAAAAAATTTGTTGCGTATGTGACAATCATGACACATACGCAACAAATTGACTATCTATAATCTAGTAAATTACAATCTAGACTGTCAATAATCTAGTAAATTTTCTAGACTGTCAATAATCTAGTAAATTACAATCTTTTTTTTATTTTAGTGGATTGTTATGATGGTGAAAACAATGAACCAATTGTATACCATGGTTTTACTTTAACATCTAAAGTACTTTTCAAGGATATAATTGATACTATTGCATTTGGTGCATTTTTACAGTCAGAGTAATAATTAAAAAAATACAAATTATGAGTTTCATTTATATAATATTAATAATTCCTAATAAGATGAATTTGTTTTTGAGTTGTTTAATTTTTCAATTTCTTTTTATTTTAGTTATCCAGTAATTTTGTCTTTTGAAAATCATTGTTCACCTGAGCAACAAATTGTCATGGCACAACATTTAAAAGAAAAACTAGGAAGTATGTTAATCAAATAATTTAGTTTTTAAAAATAGTAGCTCATTAAATTTTATTGATGTAATACATAGTATCTGATTTCCAAAAGTTAAAAAGTTTCATTTCACTCTTTTTAGGACAAAAATTTATTTTTAAAACAAAAACTATTTATAAACAAGGTAATTTATTTGCACTGCATTGCACATTAACACTTTTTTTTCATAGACATGCTGTTTGTTGAAGATCCTGATGTAAATCAATCAAAGCTCCCCTCTCCAGAAGCATTAAAAAGAAAAATTTTCATAAAGGTTTATTCTGATCTTAATTATTATAACATATTGTTGCTTAAAGTACATTATCATTTTATATTTTCAAAAAAAACATAAACAGGTGTTAAAAATGAGTATTATAAAACCTTTTTCCTCTCTATAAATCAAAATAAAGCTTCTCTTTTCAAAAACATTAAATGATCATATTCCTATACAATATGCTGTCTATAAAATTCCACACTGCCTTCATTGCAGAAAAAAAATTCAATAAGGTTAAGGTTTATAGGTTAATCCACTTGTTTTTGTAATTTGCAACTTACCAAACTTGCACAAATGCACATGTGAAATTTGTTAACCTGCTGTTGGATGTAAAAATATTTTTCTGAATTTGTATTGATGTAGTGATATAATGCTTTTTAAGCAAGAAATTCCAAGTTTGATCCCCATCATGTCTCTGGCAGCACCTTATTCAACTTTCTAGTTGAACACAGTACTATCAGGCACTGAGGTACTACCAGGGAAAATACAATGTACTTCTTTTGGTCTTTTCTTTAATATGTCTAATTATTTTTATTACATAAATGTATATTGTATATATATATATAAATATATATATATATATATATATATATATATATATGTATATATATATATATATATATATATATATATATATATATATATATAAAAGCATAAAGATGTTATCTACAAAAACACGAGGACTAAAAAAAAAAAATTTATTTACTTTTTAGGCAAAGAAACGAAGTCAAAATGCAGAAATTGATGATGATGCAGTTGATGCAAGCATCAAGAAACGTCAATCCAAAATAAAGCAGGTAATAATAAGTATTTTTTTGACATGTGTGTCATGTGTCATGTGACATGTGTGTCATGTGACATGTGTCATGTGTCATAAAACTGCAAAAAAGCTGTATGACAATAGCAATCTATCAATTTAGTTATTTTATCAAAGTGCATTTTAAACATTTGACTATAAAAAAAAACTAGTTGGATGGATTAATTCATTTAATTTACTTTTCTTTATCTTATATCTTTTCACTACAAATATCTTTCACTTTTTACCATCAAATTTTTTTCACCTTTCACCATGAAATCTTTTCAGTTTAATTCATAAAATTCAAATCCTCAAATTTTTTAGGTCAAATTAGGTAGAATTACAATTTTTACAATAGAATTTACAGTGTTTGAATCATAGAAGTTCAATCCTTAATATTAAACCCTTTTATAAGATTGAAGAATTTGTTAGATTTAAATGATCTTTCAGATTATAGAAGTTTGAATTACGAGAGTTTTTATTTTTATTTTTTATAAGCCAATAATTATGCCTAAGTTATACTAAAGCTGCTTATTAAATTTTTTTGCTGGCTTAAAACTTTTAAAGCTGGTTAATATATTTTAAAGCTGGCTATTAAATTTTTATGCTGGCTTAAAATTTTTAAAGCTGGTTATTAAATTTTTATGCTGGCCTAAAATTTTTAAAGCTTCCCAAGTTATATCCAAGCTGGCTTGAAAAAAAAATTTTATTTTAAAACTAACAAAAAAGTTAATATTCACTTTTTACTAATTAATAATTTAAAAATTTAACAAATCATTAGTTAAAAATAATATTTGAAATTTAATAATTAATATTTGATAATACATAAAAAAAACTAAATCTTAATTTTTAAAGCTAAAAATCAAGTACACAAAATGAAAGTATGCAAAAAATATTTATTTGAATTAGTTTAAATAAAATTTAATTAATTTTAAATAATTTTATAATTTTTAATAATTTTAAATAAATTTAATTTATTTAATTAAAAATAATTAAAACAAGTTTTTAAAACTTTTTTAACTTAATTTAAAAGTTTAAAAGTTTTAAGTTCAACTTAATTGTTTATTTCGTTTTTTAATACTCAATTTTTTTATTTTTTCTTAAACCTGTCTTTTTAATTAATTTTTTTTTTACTCACAACTAGTTTACTCCTAATAGGGCTGCAAGCAACAATTATTTAAGGAGTTACCAGATAACAAAGAATATTTTTAAAAAGTAAGAAAACGGTTGACAAGAAATACTGTAAATTGTATGAGCCAGAAAAACATGACAGTAGAGAATTGTGATGTTCAAAAAAAGATGATGAAAACAAGTTTTTAGAGCATGAAGAGACTGATACAGTAAAGGGATGGAACTTTGCTGAATAACAAGTAACAAAAGAATGAGTTTGGGTTTATGTAACAAAAAATAATAGCTTGTTAGAGCAGCAGCCATGGTGTTGATGGTGGTATTTGAGCATCAGCCCATGGTGGTATTTGTAGAAAAAAGAAAAAAATATTGTGACAATATGACAAAGGCTCAAGCATGGAAACTGAAGATTTTTGGACTTTGAAAAGAAAAGCCTTAACTATGCTGCCCATTGAATGCACAAATGAATCATTCTGTTATAATAGTTAATAAATCAGCTGTAAAACCAGAGAATCAAAGTCTGCATTAATTGTAAGATATTAAGCTTATAATGAGCTTGATAATTAAAGATATTTGCTAATAGAAGCAATCCACGATGATCAGTATGGTTGCAAGGTCCAGAGTTTTTAAAATTTTGATCCACAGATGCCATTTTCTAGCAAAGCGGAAAACATGATCAGTTAAGCTCTCATCTCATTTAGAAAGTATTGAAGTCCTGAAAACACCTTTGCAAGACTGTGACAGGAATGTTGTCCTTATCACAAAAAGAGTTTAATTGAGTAGTAACTTTAACTATAAATGTTGTAGTGATTTAGATGTCTAACAATGAGTTAACCTTTTTTTCTGGGATGACAAAAGCGTGGTTTTTAGATGAATTTGAGGAAAGTACTTTGCGAGTAGATCTGCCTTTTTTTTCAAAGAAGTAGTAAGGTTGGACCAACGTATGAGAGAAAATGTTAGATTTTGCCAATCAGTTAAAATTTGGTGAATTTTGCAAGAGATAAGATTTGACTGTATTATAATATTTATTGTATGAAAAGTTGCTTCAAAGATCACAAGTATTTTTAAAAGATAGATTGAAGCAATTAGGTGGTAGTGACGGTTTTTTATATTTAATATTTTAGATATTTTATTAATGTTTTAAATTCTTAGAAGACTTGGCTCATTCATAGATATTGCCTCCTAAGCAATCAGCTATGTAGTTACCTCGGTCTCTCAAATTAACTCAAAGTCATTGCAAAGGTCTCTTAATGTGACCTCAACAAGACGCACCATATGGCACTCTTAATACTCTGTTTTTTTTACAGATGTTGATGAAATCAGCCTCTTTATACATAGTTTGAAAAGCCCTACTACCACCTAAACTCAAAAACCGCTAGAGCTGTACCCTCAGGAGATAAGATTAGGAGTTGAATAGCCACCATAAAAGAAGCACCAGCGAAAACTCATGAGTAGTGTCAAGAAGATACAACATTTGTCATTCTAGACAGCAAACAATGTAACACAGATTTACATCTATTCTAGCCTGATAGATAAAAAAGGGGTCCAAAGTATTTTAAGTCAGAGTTAACTTCTCCTTGCCTTTGTTTAAACAAGCAAGTTCTACAAGGCAGCAGGTTATACATGAATTACAAATTCTGCATAGGGCAGGTTATACTGGATTACATGTTATCAGTAGCAGGGTAATCATGATAATCCTTAACCAGTGAACAAGTTGATCCTGATGGTCCTTAACCAGTGAACATGTTGATCGTAATGGTCCTGAATTTACTTTTGTAGATTTTTTTGACTCACATGTAAATGATGTAAATTACTTTAAACTCAAGTTTTCTGATAATGTAAGTTATAAATAAACAATTTTTAATCAGCATAAAAAAGATACAAGAATGTAGTTCTTGTTTGCTTTGCTGTTTAATTTATTTTTTTGACATTTTTTTTAAGTATTATGCATCATGCTTTTAATATTATTAATTTGAAGGATTTCTTTACGTAATACAACCATATGCAGTTAAAACTTTGAAAAGCACAGTATTAAATAAAACTTCGTGATTTTTATAACTTTTTTTCTATTTTGAAAATCAAATTTTTTTTAGTTACAAAGTTGAAATAAAAGTTTATGAGATATGATTGGACCAGGAGGTAGACATTAATTGCAATAATTGAACCAGGAGATAGCCATTGATTGCAATAATGTGACATGCTTAGGTCAAGGTTAGGCAATTATATCCACTTGAGGCTCCATGAGAAACTATTTGTGAAAAAATATCTTTTGATGCAGAATTTTTCTAACTTAAGCTTTTTTTTAAATTATTAGCAGTCTTTAGGTGTTATTAGATCTAATATCTCTGGCAGTAAAACAAATGTTATATCAAGACATGTGATCATGGCGACCAGTTGTATCTCCTCCAGCCTTATATGTAAGATGTAATGCAAATTTTAAGCATGTATCCTATTTTTATTAAGGATCATGTTGACTAAATTTGTGAAAAATTTACTGTTGCAATCTATAAGGTTCTCTGTATACTACTTTGCCTAGATCTTAATTATATGTTGTGCTTGTAAGTTGTTAACAGTTACCACTTTAGTTGAAAGTGTTATAAGTAGTTATTTTTCCACTTTAATTTATATTGTTCAATAGTTATTCTTTGATGACACCCAGCATTCATCCAAAATATAGTTATAATTAGTTCAATAATATATGTTGACATCAGGTGTTTTAATAATGAAGTTAGCAAAGAAATAAATAATTTTAGTATTAACCAATTGTATATAATAATAATAATAATAAAAATATAATAATTATACAGTTAAAATGACTAATTTATATAAGTTTTAAGCTGTATAATTTAAAATTTTTTTTCTTTATTAAAATCCAATATACATTTTTTTATGCAAAAACATTGTGAGCTAAAGATTCAAAAAGTTATTCTGATTTGTTTTTTGTTTTTTGTGTGCCTTTTTTAATACTATTTCTGATTTGTTATTTATATTTTTTTAAATAATAATATGGGAGGATATTTTTAAAAAAATATTGAGGGTGATTTTTTACAATTTTGTTTATAATTCTATAAATGTTACTATTGTAAATTTCTGTAAAAAAATGTTTTATTTTGAAAAACAAAAACTATATTGAGAATGGGATGATTTTTTGCTATCTGTATGTGTTTTTCATAGTAACATTCGTTCTAATTAACAATGTATAAACACTTAAATTGAGTTTAATTTTTTTTCAAGATTCATTAATATTTAATTTTAAAATGAAATTTTTATTTACAGAAAATTAATGTAGCTGAAGAATTCTCCAACATTATAAACTATGTTGAGTCTATTACTTTTAAGTCGTTGGAGCAGGGCCTTGCTTGTAAGCATTTTAAATATTTTTTTTATATATATCATCGGTATATAAGGGAAATGAACTTTTTTGGCAGTATTGAGTTATGCCACTATTCAGTCCATTTTTGGCAGTATGGAGTTATTTATACGACTATTCAGTATTTTAAATTCTCTATCGTTTGATATACCACACAAATTTAATAAATCAATTATTAATGAGTTATTAGAATTTTTTATTTCAACTATTACACAAAAACTTATTATTTTAACTATTGTGCAAAAACTTATTTGTTCATTATCTCAAAATGATGTTTTTGGACTTTTGAATTTCCCTTGTATACCGACGATGTTTAGAAGTCTATATATATATATATATATATATATATATAATATATATATATATATATATATATATATATATATATACTCTTGCATGTCTCTTGCGTGGCATCAAAAAATATTTCCCATAAACTGTAGTTTTAAAGAGCGCGTTAATAAACCAGACCAGAAAAAGTTTTGAAAATTAAATTTTTTTTTTTAATTGATAGACTGCCTGGCCAAACCAAACCCTCAGTCGATGTAGCAGCACTCTCTTGCGAGTCAGGCTATTTGTCAGTCGTTGTAGCAGCACTCCCTTGCGAGTCAGGCTATTTGTCAGTCGATGTAGCAGCATTCCCTTGCGAGTCAGGCTATTTGTTAGTCGATGTAGCAGCACTCCGTTGCGAGTCAGGCTATTTGTCAGTCGATTTAGCAGCACTCTGTTGCGAGTCAGGCTATTTGTCAGTCGATGTAGCAGCACTCCGTTGCGAGTCAGGCTATAAGATAGTCGATGTAGCAACATTTACGCATGTTTTAAAAATGTTTTTTTTATTAAATCAATAACAAAAACACCACTAATTAAAAAAAACTTTCTAGTCGTTATAATTGCGGTTTTTTAAAAATTTTTTAAAAAACAATTAAATTTAACGTCCTTCCGCATAAATTAATTGCTTTGACATTTCGATGACAATCAAAAACAGCTTAAGAGACGAGGTAATTAAAATTGTAGTCGTAAGAGACTTTTTTTACATTAAAACGCTCTTTCGACTACACTATAAGGGTATATATATATATATATATATATATATATATATATGTATATACATATATATATATATACATATATATGTGTATATATATATATATACATATATATGTGTATATATATATATATATACATATATATGTATATATATATATATATATATATATATATATATATTTATATATATATATATATATATATACATATATATATATATATATATATACCACACAAATTTAATAAATCAATTATTAATGAGTTATTAGAATTTTTTATTTCAACTATTACACAAAAACTTATTATTTTAACTATTGTGCAAAAACTTATTTGTTCATTATCTCAAAATGATGTTTTTGGACTTTTGAATTTCCCTTGTATACCGACGATGTTTAGAAGTCTATATATATATATATATATATATATATATATATATATATATATATATATATATATATATATATATATATATATATATATATATATATATATATATATATATATATATATATATATATATATATATATATATATATATATATATATATATATATATATATATATATATATATATATATATATATATATATATATATATATGTATATATATGTATATATATGTATATATATATATATCCATATATATATATATGTATATACATATATATATATATACATATATATGTATATACATATATATATATATATACATATATATATATATATATATATATACATATATATATATATATATATATATATCAGGCTTGGTCGGGAAGCGGGAGCGATCGCTCTCGATTGCTGACCACGTAAATAATATTTAGTTGCGAAAAGGTGGCCAGATTTTTTAGTCGTTTTGAGAACATTTTAAAAAGCAAAAAAAAAAAAGCGCAAAAGATTAATTGGACCGATGAGAGACAATAACAAAAAAAAAAAAAAAAATTAGGCAAATAAAATATCATTAAACGCGAAAAATATTAATGTTAAATAAATTACGTTTAGAACAAATATTTTTGAAACATCGCTCCTTTATAAATTTTTTTATAAAATTAAGCGATGTTTTTTATATAAAGTAACAACTTACGATTGTTTATAAATGAAACAAATGCTCTTTATTTAGTAAAGTTTGCAAGTTTTAATTTTAAGCTAAATTATTTTATAAATAAAAAAGTTAATTTTTTACCTACCTATTTTATATACCTATTATTTTATTATACCTAGGTATATTATTATTATACCTAGGTATTTTATATACCTATTTTATGTTTCGCTTAGTTTGAAAAGTTTAACATATTTGAAGCAATTCTTCTTAGTCAGATAAACAAATGAAATAATTAAATCATTGAATTACTATAGAAATTAAATTAAAAAGATAGAAATCAACTAAAAAAGTTAAAAATACTTTATGACGAGGAAGCGAAACTGCTTCACAATATCGCTAATGATGATTAGTGAGTGGGCTTTTTAATTTTAATTAGTATTTAAAACAGAAAATAGTATAACGAGTTTCAAGAATGCCAACTTAAGCGAAAACAATTAGAGTTAGTAAACCCAATATATAGAAACTTTTCTTTATATCTAATTATTTGCTATATATATTTGTGTTCTGCCGTGACCTCAGGCGCGGTACTTGTTTATCCGCCAGATACTTTGTATGCGTTGTTTGTGTTTAGTAACCAGAAACTGTTTATACGTTTGTTACATAATTAGTTTTATTAACTATAACAATTATAACTTCATTGAAAACGCAATTATTTTTGTAAGTCTTTGTTTAAATCATAAAAATTGCTTTAAAAATACATTACGATAAAGAACAGATACACAAAATTACATTTACATAAGGATTACATACTTTTTAATTAAAAAATAAGAATTCTATAATTAATAATAAACTTTTGAAATTTTTACAATTTAATATATATTTCAAATATTTATTTTTGTAGACAAATAATATATAATTTAAAACAAGAAAACTAGAAATCTCAAAACGTAACAAATCGTGAGTTATACATTTCCTAAAACATTTTAACAGAATACTCTAGAACTTTATTTTGCTAAGTCAGCGTATTTTTTGAACCAATAGAATTAGTTTCTTCGTTAATTTGACGGGTTTTTCGTGTTCGCGAATATTGATGTTTTGAGAACAATAAAGTTTATTATGTTTCCATGTATGTCTGTAAAACAAAATTTTTTATATCGTACAAAAACTTAAATGACTAAAAAACCTGGCCAGTTTTTCGCAACTAAATATAATTTCGGTGGTCAGTATTCGAGAGCGATCGTTCCCGCTTCCCGACCAAGCCTGATAAATATATATATATATATATATATATATATATATATATATATATATATATACATTAGGGTGGGTCATAAAATTTTTTTTCAGAGTTGCTAACCTGGCTATGGTCTAGAAAGTTGTTTTTTTATGTACTAATTTAGGAAAGTATTTACTTTTATGGATTGAACAATGTCTTCCACCCGCAACTATAATTACAAAAATTAGCAGGCCCTATTATTATTAAAAAAAAAATTTATCAAAATTATGTGATGTAGGTACTCAAATAAAGCGAAATTTTATAAAAATTTCAAAAATAATAATTTTTTCATATAAAAATTATTATATTAGATTTTATTGCATAATAACTATAGTTTTTTTAACTAAAAGTGAAAAAGGTGCATTTTAACATATTTTTTAATAACAATTTTTTTCGGCAATATGATTTTTTATAAAATGATTATTATTTTCGAATTTTTTATAAAATTTCGCTTCTTTTGAGTACCAGGTTGACCTACTTTAAAAAACTTTTTTTCTCCAAAATATTAGGGTACCGGTAATTTTCCCAATAATGTTGCGCCCTATAAATCTATCGCAATCATTCTCATATTTGATAGTATCAATATTAATAACTATTAGCAATGTTTAGAGCCTGTAGCAAGAAAAAAAATTTTATGACCCACCCTAATATATATATATATATATATATATATATATATGTATATATATATATATATATATATATATATATATATAAATATATATTTATATATACATATATATATATATATATATATATATATATATATATATATATATATATATATATATATATATATATTATGCTAGGTATATATGTGTATCTAAAAACATATACATATATATATTAGGTATATATATATATATATATATATATATATATATATATATATATATATATATATATATATATATATATATATATATATATATATATATATATTTAGCTCAAAAGTATTTTCAAAATGTATCACTTGGTGAGAAAAAATTATTGCAACTTGGTAAAGATTATCCAATGAAACTTATTGAATATAGCAATAAATTTTTGGTAAGGACATATCCTAGAGGTTCAAGAATTGACTCCAGCAACTACAATCCAACTAAAGGATGGGTGTTTGGTTGCCAAATTGGTAATATTTTATTTTGTTTTGTTTGAAAGTTTTATTTAAATTTTATTCAATTTTTGTTCAAGTACAATTCTTTAAATTCAAAAATGTTTTAGTTGCATTGAATTTTCAAACCCCAGGGGAATTGATGGATATTAATGATGGCTTGTTTGCTTTGAATGGGAAATGCGGATATGTCCTCAAACCTGAGTGTTTAAGAAGTGGTATTAACAGTTTTAATTATTTCTACTGATTCTTCAATTCACTAAAATAGTGTAGTTTACTAAAGGTTTATCAAATGTTTATAATGGTTATAACAAATATTTCAATTTTGTTGCGAGCCAAATTTAATGTTGGTTGATTTTATCTTTAAATACTATAAAATTTAAAATAAAATGTATAGTACTTTTTTTTAGTTTCATAAACATAGTTGTTTTTTTTCTATATCAATGTACAAATTTAAATGGTTATTTAAGGCAAGTTTGATCCTCAAAATGTTGAAAATTTCAGTAAAACTGTTTGTAAAGTCAACATCAAGGTAATATTTACATTTTTATATTTTTTATTCAATGATATTACTTTTTAAATTTTAATTTTCTAACATTAAAAACTTGCAAAAAAAATTTATGTTTTAGATAGTTATTTAGTTATAATCAATTTTTGTTGTGTAATGTTGAAATTTTACTAAGATACTATTAGTAGATGTTCTGATTAATGGTTGGAGTATTGGATTTTACATTCCTTTGTTTAAGTTTTTATGATCTTAGTAAAAAGTTAGTTTAATATTTAATAAAAGTTAAGTTATAAATTAAAAGTTTTTTTATTATAAACAGATTATAAGTGGACATCTGCTTCCAAAAGCTTCAAAAGATGGAACTGTGAGTTTTTATTAACTGCAACTTGTTATTTTACTTAAACATGAATGATATAAGAAATTTTTTTTTAACATTTTTGTAGACTACTTTAACATAATTTAAATTTATTTTCTAAAGTTATGTTAAGCATTCTTTTTCGAATCTTTTTTTGTTTTGAATTTTTTCCTTTTTTTGAAATGTTTCCTTTTTTTTTTATATGTATTTTATTTAAATATATTTTGATTATAAATTTAGTATATATAAAATAAAAATTATTTAACATTAATTGAAAATATATTGACTAAATGTCACTTTTAAATTAAACAACTTTGTTCAACATCTGAATCTGAATCACTTTTGCATGCTGATAAAATTTCTATGCATTGTTTTTTATACTGCTCATCAGTCTAATAACTCATTACTTAGCAATTCAGTATTTTATGCTGGGTAAAAAATAGTTTTTTTGCACAACACAACTTGTTAAGTATTGAATTAAACTCAATTCTTTTTCATTTAATAACAATATTTTACTATTAGGTAAAGTAATATGCTTTTGAATTATATTGATTTGTTTGTGGTTTCAAGTTTTAAAATTTTCTTCAGTCAAGCTCAAATCATTCAACAATTTAGAAGCTTTTGTATTTAATTCTTTGATAATTTTAAAATGACCAAAGTTCATTAAGTTTTTTTTTAATAGTTAAATTAATTTGTTTGTGGTTTTAAGTTTTGTCTTTTATTTAGTCATATCTAGTTATGTAAATTTGAAAGCACAAGTTGCAAGAAAAATTGTGGATATCAAACATTCCTCAAATAGTTATTTATTTTTTTAATTTTTGTATCAAGCATTTAATCATTAGTAATCATATACTGATTGCCATTAGTAATAATACATCATTAATAACCATATACAAATTATCAAGTGTTTATACTAAGGTTTCAATTTTAAATTGTGTAGATGAATAGATAGAATAACAAAATTTAATTTTAAGTATCAAAATGATCGAAACAGCTCATACCTCAAGATTATGTATTTCTTTAGCTAATGTAAACCGTAAACTATGTTTCTGTGTTTACTTTAGATACCAGATCCTTTTATCAGAGTAAACATACATGGTATCCCTAAGGATGAAGTTCTTGGAAAGTTTGCAACAAAAAAAATCAAAAGAAATGGTAGTAATAATTTGACATATTTTTGCTGTAAACCTTTTTTCAAATTTATGCAATATAACTGTGTTGCGGTATGCGTTTTGTATTGCTATTTTTTTTTTTTTTTTTTTTTTTTAATTTTTGTTATTAGGTTAAAATTTTATTATAGTATTTATTATTTTTTTTAAATATAATAAATATATTTGTTGTCTTGTTTTTTTTGTTTAATATAATATTTGTTGTCTTGTTTTTTTTTTTTTGTTTAATATAATATTTGTTGTCTTGTTTTAAAATTTATTTGATTTTTCTTGTTTCACTCTTTTTCTCTCTTTGTGAACTTAGTTTGCTTTTATTTTTACAATTGTGTTGGTAAAAAATATATATCTTGGTAAAAAAGTTCTTATGAATTGCTTAGAGATAGAATGCTGGTTTCTAATATTAATATGGTTAATGTATAACAGGTTTATCCAATTGATTGTTTCACATACCTAGTGGATTTTGTATGGGAAGACTTTTTGCTCGTTGTGTTTTCAATAAAAAATAAATGATATTGAGCAGCCGTCGCGCAGTGGTTAGAGTACTGGCTCAGAACCCAGAGGTCCGAGGTTCAACGCCAGCTCCAGCCCAAAAAGCGACATTGGTACGGAAGGAGGCGTGAACTTCCTATTAAATGCTCTCTCGCGGTGCTCTATGATAAGACCGTAAGGACATCTGGGTGCACCTAAATACATACGAAAAAAATATATATATTATCTTGTCTTTTGCTGGTCTTCGTATCTGTAACTTCTTTAACCCATTGATAACTTTTATTTCTCTTTCTTCTTTGCATTCATTCTACAGTTTTTATGTCACCATTTAAGTACATACACTACACAAGTGCAGCATGTTCCAGCTAGATCATAGTTTATTTTTAAAAGTTTACATGATCTATTTTGTTAGAAGTAAAAGCTAAAATTTTTGTGTCAACTGAAAACTATTTGTAATGACATGTAATGTCGTTTTACATATCATTAACGTATAAAAAAAAATAGTATTAATCCCAACTTGAGGTACCACGCTTGTAACTCGTACCCAACTATTTGCAGTGACGTATATCGTTTTACATATCATTAATGTATAAAAAAAATAGTATTAATCCCAACATTAAAACTTGAGGCACCATGCTAGTTACTAGTACTCAACTATTTGTAATGACATGTAATATCGTTTTACATATCATTAATGTATAGAAAAAATAGTATTGATCCTAACATTAAAATTTTAAGCACCATGTTAGTTACTAGTACCCAATTTCAATATATCTTCTAATTTGGTTCTTTATTGATTGGTCAGTTAAGCAAAAATATTCTTTATCAAATGATTATCTATACTGTGTTTGCCTAATTTATAAATCTTTTTTTGTGGAAATCCTTGTAAAATGTCTTAGCAAAATCAAAGCAAATAATAATGACTAGTACTTATACATTTACCTAGTTTGTATAAAAATCAGGCTTCTAACAAGTTGGTTGCGTAACTTTTTGGTAGACGTATCCATATTGGTAATAAATTTCAAACACTCATTGGTGTTTGAAATTTAACTAAAAATAAAATAATGTTTTAAAGTGCTCTCAAGATAATATAATAAACTTTAAACACCTTTTAATACATATTAATAGTAAATTTCAAATTTACTATTAATATGTATTAAAAGAAGCTTACGTGAAGTCAGAAAAAACAGACACAATGATAACTTAAACTCAGTTTAAGTCATCATTATGTCTGTTTTTTCTGACTTCATGTAAGCTTTAAACTCATTTATTTTGTTGTCCAAAAAGTATACATTAGTTCACTGAAAGGTTTACCTCTTGTTATTTTGAGTTGATAATTTGAAAAGAAAATTTATTTATGAGGTCAAAATTGAGGTACTCTTACATTCATCCGAGCTTTTAAATCTTTTAATATTAGCTACTTTTTTGTTAGCATTAGTTTCACCAAAAATTTCCTCTATAACGTTTTTGTTTTCTATTTTATTTCATTTAACTTTTTTTTTTTGTTCCAATAAAAAAAAAAGAAATTTCTTTCTCTTTCAACTTTCTTGTTTTCCATTTTAATTACGTTACACCGCGAGAAAATTTGATCTGGGCCATATGTGTAAGTGCGCACTTGATTTATGGAACGGCGTAAATGAAGTTTACGTTTGGTTATAGCGATTTTTTTGTACTTCTTAGTTGCAAAACATGATGGGATCTACACTTAAACTGAATATGTTTTACGTTTAAAATCAAAAAAGCAGACTTTATATATCTGTCGAAAATATGTTACTAGTTAATTTAAACTTAAACTTATTATCAAATCGTGTTCAATGCGGAGAAGAGCTAGATTATGTGGTGCGCATCAAACTTTCTTGTTTTGTAAAATACTTACCCAACTAGTAAATTTGAAACTAAAATTGTTAGCTTCCAATTTTCTTGGAATAATCTGAGTTCTAAGCTGCGGTCTTAAAATTGTTTTTCAGATTTGATAATTCGAATTTGCATTTTTATAACTTGCTCATTTTTTGTATTATTTTATTTTGCTTATTTTTAAATGTTTTTTTTTTTTCAACAACATGTTATTTTATTCTGATAGTCAATTTAATTTATCCTCTGAAAATGATAATAATAATGATTCGGGTGACTGTAAATTAAAAATAGCAACAAGTTATTTTTTTTATTATTATTATTTGCTAGTAAGATATTTTCAACTATTTTCGACAGATATATAAAGTCTGCTTTTTTGATTTTAAACGTAGAACATATTCATATTTGTAAGCATGCGTGGTTTGTTTTATTTTTGTACAAGTGTTTTGATGTAACTTTTTTTTGTTTTTAACGTGATTTTTTTTTTTTTTTAATTAAAATTATTTTTAATTTTTTAATTAAAAAAAAGATCTAAAACTATTTAGGTTTCAATCCCCAGTGGAATGAGGATTTTCAATTTGATTTGTATGCACCTGAATTAGCACACATAAGATTTGCCATTAGTGATAGTGACATGGGTGCGGATGATTATATCTGCCAGTACTCCATACCTTTTTCTGCCATAAGAACAGGTTGTTACATTTTTGCTTTGCATTATATGAACAAAAGTTATATATATATATATATTTTTTTAAGTTATTTCCTTTGCATTTTTTCTGTTTTACTAGGTTATCGACGGGTGCCACTACTCAATCGTTCAGGTCACACAATTCGAAATGCTTCTCTTTTGGTCTTTATCCAAAAAAATATTAAATAGTATATAGGCATAAATTATAAAGTTGTAAATAGCATCACGCGTATCACGCGTTGGTAAATAGCATAGGCATCACGCGTTAGTTAGGAAAATTTGCAGTTTTTTTATTTTTGATTCGATATTGTATTAATCTTACATACAATTACTTTTAATTATTGCACATTTTTTTAAATTAAATTTAAAATTTTAGGTATATTTTATAAAATGAATTATATTAATCACATTAAATCTTGTTCTTTGACTTATATCAATCAGATCAGAAATTAAATTTTTCCCTGTAAATTTCTTAAATCAAAATTAACACTTTACCCAGATAAAATTAAAAACCGTGGTATTAACTGAAACGATATCAGCCTTCGTAAAGAACTAAAGACCAAGTCTACATGTTTAGCCGTCGTAAAGAACTAAAGACCAAGTGAGTATGTGAGACCAAGTATACATGTTTAGCCGTTGTAAAGAACTAAAGACCAAGTGAGTATGTGAGACCAAGTATACATGTTTAGAGCATAATTTATGGGGGTGATTTAGCTCTACATCAATTTAATAGCATTAATAAAATAATTTAAAAAAAAAAAAAAAAACGAGTCAGGATTAACAATACATTTTACATTTCTAATTGGAAAAACACAAAATCTAAAACACTTTTAAACTAAAGACAAAAAACCGTTCAATCAACCGTTCATATTGTTGATTTTAAAGGAATCGTTGATATTTAATTAAATATGATAATTAAAGAGTAAAAGTCTTTACAATAAAAAGATCCAAAAAAATTTGTTAAATTTTTATTTAATGGATAAATAAAACGGATAAATAGTACAAGATAAAACTAATTTAGTTTTAAATGGCGATTAGGTTCACTTGAACATTTTCGGATTAAATAAAAAAAAAATTTTTTTAATTTGTTATACAAATCACAGTATTGGTTATCCAGTTTAATTTAATAAAGCTAATTAAAAATGATAAAAAAATTTTAATAGAGTTTGCGGTTTATTTTGAACATAAAAGTGTGAAAGCAAATTATGTATTACCTGATTTAGATTCAATTGAAATTTAGAGTAATTTAAAAGCTGGATTATATAGTGTACATAGCTTATACTTCTTAGTATTAGCTAATGTTCTTTGTGTGTATATAAAATATACTAGTTATTAGTTATTGTTCAAATGAACAATAACTAATACAAGAATTATAAACAACTTTATCGGATCTAAATTAGCGAGACTTAGACTGCATTAAATTAGTATTATTAGTCACTTTTAAAACCAATGACTTAATACCTATGACTAAAAATTTACCATAAAATTAGTGACTATATGTTTATCTAAAATCTTATTCATAAGTTGCTTCATCGAGAATTAGGTAGCTATTGAGCTTTCTTAAAATGTTGACCCTACAACTTTTTTGAGTTTCGATACTTGTTTGGCTCAGTTTGAATGTCTTTTAAGCGAATACTGAAAATATTACTTATATTTTTGCACAAAAGGACTATATGTTTTGAATCTTTTAGCTCATTCAAACAGTCCAGGATTCTGGATACATGAACGAAGAATGCCTGGGATCAGCATTTTATTCACAAATCTTTTATCCAGATTTTAAATACTCAATAAAAATTCCTTAAAACGCTTGAGAATCTGGGAACCAGCTGATTGACTGACTTAGCTAGTTTAGAAATAGTTTTAGATGAAGTAAATGCACAAAATGATTGATGCTTTTTTTTTTGATATTTTTAATTATTAAACTTCAAAAAAAACTTTTGTCTATGATTTTTGTGTACTGCTGTAAGTGTTAAGCTTTATATATGAGCTAATTATGTTATATATGTGCTAGGGTAAGGTTGCCGATATTGTACCGGCGCCTAAATTGTACTTTTGCTGTATCTAGTTATTTTTACAACCCAGAAAATATCTTTTGACTTAAATTTTATCTTTGCTATGTCGAATCAATTGTTTTTTCGTGAGATGAAACTAGATTCTGGCAGCAGTTACCTCGAGTTGATAAGTTGCCAAAGTTTTCTTATTTTTGGGGTTCAATCTTTAGATTTGTTAGACTTTAAACATGTTAAATATGTCTTTTTTATCATATTTATGTAAAAGCACTAGTTATATGAATTCAAATTAAATTCCAAGAAATTAAAATACATTAGCATTTGTTGTCTAATTTCGTTATAAACTCAAAGTAGTCGCGTAATTCGTACCTCACTTAAGGTCTTAAATTGTACCAAGGCTGCCATTTTGAATGCTCAAGATACGCGTGAAGTATATAAAAATAATATGAATTTTAAAATGTCGAAACGGAGATATGGTTTGTGGACAAAAGAAGATATGAAAGATGCTATTTTTGCTTATCGAAATGGTAAAATTGGACTTAACGCTGTATAGGAATTCCTAAACCAACATTAAAAAGACATATGAATCATCAAAATATATTTGCAAATGAATCAAATAAACAGTTAGGTAGGTGTAGTATCTTACCTCCTGAAGTTGAGAAAGAATTAGTTGAACATATTTTGAAACTGGAATCTTGTATGTTTGGAATAAATACAATAGATCTTAGACGATTAGCATTTGAAATTGCTGAAAAAAACAAAATACCTCATCAATTCAACAAAGATGTTGGTATGGCTGGAAAGAAGTGGTATTACCAATTTATGAAACGCAATCCAAGCCTTAGTTTGAGATTACCTAAACCAACTTCTATGGCAAGATCCACAGGTTTTTGTAAGAAAAGGTTTGTATTATTTTTCAATAAACTTACTGAACTTGTTGACAACCACAATATTACTGCAGATTTGCTTTACAACGTAGATGAAACTGGAATAAGTACAGTTCACAAACCAAGGAAAGTTTTAGCTCTGAAAGGCAAACACCAAGTAGGAGGTATTACAAGTGGTGAAAGGGGTGTGAATACCACTGCCATATGTTGTATGAATGCTGTTGGATCTTTTGTACCTCCTATGCTTATATTTAAACGTAAAAGATTTAAAAATGAGCTTAAAGATGGTGCACCACCATTGACAGTTTTTGGATGTTCTGATACTGGTTGGATAACTAAAGATTTATTTACTTTGTGGATAAGTCATTTTATAAGCTCACTTTGTCTTAAACCTCTTGCAGAAAATCCAGAACAAAAAAAACTTCTTCTTATACTTGACGGGCATTCAACACATACAAAAATCCTTGAAGCCTTAGTTCTAGCTCGAGAGTAGTATTGCTTTCTTTGCCATCGCATACTACTCATAGGCTACAACCTTTAGATAGATCTTTTTTCAAAGCTTTAAATTCTAAATATAATACTGCTTGTGATAAATAGATGCGAACCCATCCAGGCAGATGTATTACTCAATATCAAGTAACTGTTTGGCGAAGCTTACTCAAAAGTTGTTGGTATGGAAATTGCTATTAATAGATTTAGAGACACTGGGATATGGCCGGTAGACAGCTCAGTTTTCCGGGAAGAGGACTTTGTAACTTGTGAAATACTCAGTGGAGAGACGAGTTCAAATGCAAAAGCTTCCCAAACAGTAAGTTTAGTCGTAGTTTGCCTTTAGTCACATATTTTTCTTTCTAAACTTATTCAAATACCATAATTGTTACTGTTGTTCTAATTATATATTTTTTGTTTAACGTTTCATTTATTTAGGATGAACTTATTTTAGAAACAATTTCTGCACATCCAGTGCAAACTTCTTCACTCATGCGAAATCCAAAAAAATCTAGAGCTACTCTATTGAAACATAATGCACATAATGACCCACTCTCTAACGTAACTTTATTATCATCAATGAAAAAAACAGAACAGTAAGTCTTTTATTTTGTTTGTTGCAATTTTACATTAATGGTTACACACACTCAAACACACGCACAATACACACACATATGTTCATCTCCGAAGGTTATCCATAATATTATTATTTTCTTAATTAAAATGAAAATTTAAAGCTAATTTTTACTAGGAGAAAATTTTTAGGCTGCAGAAAATTTGTTAGAATTGTTATTGGTTATTTTTTAGGTTGCAGTGTCTTGACACACCAATAAAAGCATTATCTACACTTCCAGTTAGAATTTCTCCTCTCAAAAGAAAAAAAAATAATTCTAATACAACTGTATTGACGAGTAGCCCTTACAAAGATGCACTCTCTGGAAGAGCTTTACTGCGACCAAATAAAAAAATAAAGCAGGACAGACAATGTTTGAAAGAGTGTGAGCAAGCAAATAAATCTCTTCAAAATGAAAGCTGATTTTGCTACCTCTGTGAAGAAAATATAAAAGAGTATGATACAATGCCTTACATGTCAAGGCTGGTGCCATAATGACTGTGCAGGTGTTAATCAAAAACAAAAACGTTATATTTGTAACTTTTGTCAAGAATAAAGATTTTCTGTTTTGTATTATTAATATAATGTGCAGTAATATCCATCATTTTCTCGCCAAAATTCTAGAAACCACATAAGTAAGTTACACATTTAATATAAAAGTTATACCTTAGTGAGATGTTTTCAGACTATTCTAGGAACATTTTTACATTGCTTGGCACAGAAAAAGATCTTTATAAAAATCATTCAAAATGTACTGTAAATTAATATAGTATTTGTAAAATCAAAATATAGGTACAATATTGGATTATAATGGTACGATTTAAGATCTTTTTTCCTTAATTGTACCGATAGCGTGTTTTTAAAATTTAATTCCCTATCAAATAACAACGTTTAAATATTTGAATATTTCAACTTTTTTAGAACAGTTTATCCCCAAATTATAAAATAAAATAGTCTCATTGTTTCTACTTTGTATTTTTTCTCTATTTTTGACTTTACTCTTAGAGGGTACAATATCAGCAACCTTACCCTAATTATGCTAAGCTTTATATATGTGCTATATATGTATTAAGTGCTAAGCTTTATATATGTTTGGAAAATTTTTTTACATTAGTTTTTAATTTAAAGCTCTTAGAGTTGAGTCAATTTTTCATTCATTTTTTTGTCGTTACATTGTTAATGTTACAAAAAGAAAATTTTATTTGAAACAACTTTGAAAGATTGTTTCTATATTTAATATTAAAGAACATTATTTATAAGTTTTTAAAGACCATGAAAAATATACAATACGTCACGAATATTTTTACTATCATTACCACAAATATAAGAATCGATGTAATTTCCGTTGGATTTAGCTAAAAATTGCTTAAACTGCTAACATTTTTTCAATGTACTAACGTTTATTAATGTTTAATGTTTTGTACTAACGTTTGTTAACGTTTAACGTTTTGATGCAAAAATCGAAAAAAGCTAAAGAAAGGGTTTTATTGAAGCATGTCATTCTTCGTAGACTTCGAAGACGTTAAGAATCGAGAGCATAGTGACAATATTTCTGTGGACATCTCTGCAATGGATGAGCTAATAAGGAGGCAATGCTTTCAAATACATGAGCAGGATTTTTAAATGCCATGACTACGTAGTTATTTCCATCAAGTCGAGATAAATTTGTGATGTTATCCTAAAGTTAGAAATTTTATCCTAAAGTTAGAAAGTTAAAAAAAAAAAATTATAAAAAAACAACAACCAGCAATCAAATAAAACGAACTTATTATTTGTAAAAATAACATAAAAATGAAAAAGTAATAATTTGACATGTATTTATGTATCACTTAGTTGATAACCCATAACAACAATTTTTTTTTAAATATATATTTTAATTGATCATAATTTTAATGACTTGACTTTTACAGAGTTTTCTGTTTTAACAACTTTACTGACGTTTTTTTTTTTTTTTTTTTTTTTGTTTAAAAAAAAATAGCTCGAACATGTTTAAATCAATAATAATGTTCATAATAAGAATGTTAGCTGGGTTATTTCTAATTTGATATGTATAATTTAATCGTTAAATGCGTGAGCACCAATGAGCACATAAATATGATGCCCAAAACGCATAAAATAAATTTTTAAAACTACATAATTTAATTACTATAAATTTCTGTAAACTATTTTATAAACTATTTCTCGTGTGCCACAAAACAAAACGGCGGAGTAAAATAATGCAATAAGGTACTTTATAATCTAAATTTTTTTAAATACCAGATATAAGTTGTGGATTTAAGGTTTAACCTGTGTTTTGTGGAAAAAATAAAATCATTTGTGAAATAATTACGATGGAACTAACTCATAATCATTCAAAGAGCATGACATTTAAAATAATTCGGGGGGAGCATGTTATATTTACTAATGATAATTCGGGGGAGCATGTTATATTTGCTAATGATAATTCGGGGGGAGCATGTTATATTTACTAATGATAATTCGGGGGAGCATGTTATATATACTAATGATAGTTCGGGGGAGCATGTTATATTTACTAATGATAATTTGGGGGGAGCATGTTATATTTACTGATTTTTATTCTAGAATTTATATTTACTGATTTTTATTCTAGAGTTTCTAGTTTACGCTAAACCTACAGCTGTAACTAAATTTAAAAAAACTAAACTTTACTTTCATAAGTTTTTCATAATTATTTATGTGTTTGATTATAAACCGTTTAAGAATGCAAAAAAAAAACTTGATCAACTTTCAAATTTCTGAAAACTCAATGCAATTAAAAGTGAGTTTACTTTTTGTACAAAAAAAAATTTCCAAGAATGTAACAATAATGTAACTTAGATTGTCCAACATGCTCCTTTTAATTAATGATCATTAATATTTAGTGTTAAATTTACAAATGTTTCTTAGTTTATACTTCACTTTTTTTTAATGTAAAATTTAAAATGAAATCAAGCAAAAAAAATCAATGGGGTAAAAAAAATATTGTCTCACTTTGCTCCTAGACACTAATTTGAATTTTTATTTATTTGGCACAAAACTCTTCAATATTTCATTAAAAAAAAAAACTTTGAAAATTATGAGTATATTGATAAACCAAATTTTTTTCTAACAGGTTTTCAAAAAATATATCTTTTAATAAAATAACAAACATCTTACTCATTTGGAATACATGATACATGAAGTTTTTACAACACATAAGTAAATTATAAAAATTTTAATCTATTTCCAAATAGCTCAAGTGATAAAAATTAATCTATTGGTTAAATGTTTAGCATATATAATATTACTAGATTTTGCACTACGTTTTTTATTCTTTTTAACTTGATCGTTTCTTTGTAAAAATGATTTCCATATCTGGCTTCAGTGTAAATTTCTTATAAATTTAATTAAGTATTAGGGAAAGTTTGTGTAAAATTTTGGTCCTGGTATTTTATACTGTTTTACAATCCTAGAATAAATGTTTTTCTATAGGTTCTTGTATATTATATAGTTTGTGACTTAAGTATTAAATGCAATGTTCAATAAGTTTTCTCTCAATCCGGGTTTGTTAATAGATGACGTTTTTGACAAGGCTATTAAGTCTTGTACGAGGGCCATATAGCTTGCTTGTAAAAATGTATTTGGTCATGAAGTAAGTTGTTGAATTTTGATTGGTGCAGAGCGTTTTTTTAAGCGATTGCTTTGCAATCACAATTTTATCCCTAGACTTATACGTCAACTTTGCTCAGAACTAGGGCCGCTCTATGAAAATTAGGTTTAACTCCATAATAAGACATAGCTATACATCACTGTAAATCATACTAACCCGTATCAGATAATTACACAAACAGTTCTAAACATTAAGTAACACAATTTTGTTTTAACACTTATTAATAACACCTAAACTGTCTGAACAATGATGGACAAACTGTCTGAACAATGATGAAGAAAGCACTTTTTTATTATTTTACCTAAGTTGATACTTGCAAATTTTATAATTCAGAAATAAGTTGCTTTATGATTAATTGCTATTATGGTTTCTAAGAATATAATTAAAAAAATTTTTAAAATGTATATATATATATATATATATATATATATATATATATATATATATATATATATATATATATATATATATATATATATAAACATTTTTTTATTTTAATTCAAAACATGTTAGACTACAATATATTCATCATCAATTAAAATTTATTTGTTAAAAATGATATAAATTACAAAAAGAATTATTAAAAATCATTTAAACAAATGTCAAATATAACAAAAGAACCGGTAAATTATTTTAAATGGTAAGAGTCATTTTAACATGATTTCATTTTAACATGTTTATTCATATCGTTTGTTTTTTTTAAATTAAAAAAATAATATACACATATACATTATGTGTTATGATGGCGAACAGTGAACCCTTTGACTCTACTAATGGATTTATGCATGTGATTTAGTAGTGCATAAGCAACTTGTCATCACCTAATTAGAGTATAGCTCTAAAACTCAGTTTAAGTTCTCAAAGACTGATTCCATCGACAACTGTAAAAATTCAAAGCATTTTTTATGCCATGTTGAACATGGGTGGTGTCTTTGTTAGTACTTTTAGAGTGCATTACCAAGGCCACAAAAAAAGAATTAACTTCAATATTGATTTTAGAATTTACTGTTGATAGCTACTATCCTCTGATTTGCAAGACTTCAACAGCCGCATGTACGGCCTTGTAATCCTTATGCATCAAATCACATATTTATTATAAAATTAAAATTCTTTTACTTTTATGTGCTTTTGTTTAGTATTTACTATTCTTTTTGCTCTATTCCATCCTTCGCAATATTAAAACTTTTATTTGTCTTTTTTTTTACCAAAGCTTTAGAGTTATTTCCTGCCTTAATATTTTCCTGGCTCATGCAATATACAGTTTTTCAAGCCTTCTTTTAACTGTAAATTTTCTTATTTGCTTTTTCTAAACTCTCAACTTAAATAGTGGTTGCTTGCAGCAAAATAATTAACCAAAAAAAAAAAAAGTTCCATTACTTCTTTTAGTAGTGACTTAGTTAACCAAGTGGTGAAATATTGAAAATAAAAAGTGTATTTTTTTCTCCCAAATTGTTTATTCTGTAGTTGAAAAAGTAAATCAACGAATAAAGCTAACTATGCTAAATACAGAAGACTGATATATGGTTAATTCTTATTTCCATTCCTAAATTTATACATAATATGGTATTAAAATTTTTTCAAACACAGCTATAAAGTATAGCAATCCTATTGATGATCTTTATTAGTTTTTTGGGGGGTTTTAACAAATAAGTGTGACTACAGTTTTATTAGTATTGTTATACATTTCTTTAACATTTTAAATTTAGCAGGTACTCTTTTATTTGTGACTTTTCAAATTGGTTTTGATTTTCTTTAACAATTTAATATAATATAAACTTAAATATTTTTAAAAATAAAGAGAATTCCTAAAAATACACAAAAACTGAATTTAATGATCATTATTAGTAAACAATTTTGACAAGTATTCTTTGTAATTAATTTTGATTTATAGTATATAATTTCTAAAATTTTATAAATAAGGTATATGATTATATAGTTCAAAAATACTGGTACATTAATAGACATTATGATCTTTATATTCAACTCTTTCAGGGCTTTCCAAGTTAACTATTACAGAGCTTTCCACTCAGAGCATTCCAAGTTAACTATTTCAGGGCTTTTCAATTGTTAAGATATATAAGATGTAATATTTTTTTCTTTTTTGTTTGTATAGATTTAGATATACAGCTTGTTAAACATTATTATTTTTATATGTTAGAATAGTTCTGTACAAGCTTTATTTTTAAGTTGAATATTTTTTTTCTTTCTATGATTTAACTACAATAATTAATTTTAAAACTATTAAAACCACTTACTTTAAATACAGATATAGATTCTTCATCGCAAAGCATGCAAAAAACATCAAAAAAGAAAGATAAACGCGAAGTGATTTCTTTATACTCCTAAAAAAACATGCTGCAGTATATATATATATATATATATATATATATGGATATATATATATATATATATATATAATATATATATATATAT